GCAGCAGCAGCAGCAGCAGCTCAATGCAACTAATCCAGCTGCTAAATTAGTTAAATAAACAGAGGGCAACACAGCAAAGCCCCCCCGCTAACCGGAAATGTAAAGCTAAAGTCCAAATAAAAATATGAAGCAAGAAAAAAAAATAATACTGAATTAATAACTAAACAAAATAAAAAATTGAACAAAGGAATTGAATTTTCAGCACTCGACGAAAAAAAAAAAAAAACTTGTTAAAAATAAGAGATTCGAAAACCAGAAATGCCTAAGATTTAGAACCGGATTTAAATAAACAAAACAAAAGCCATCACGGGAGGGCTACAAAAGAGCAACAACAATAGATCGAAATAGCAACGTCTATAATCATCATCAGCTGTTGCTGAGAATGACGTAGTCAAAAAAGTTATAATTAAGTGCCGATCAAATTGAATAAGTGTATATTAATAATAATGCCTTAAGCATAACGAATCTTTAAATACTCTGGCCAAAAATCGACCTATACTAAATTAACTAACCATATCATCTGCCAGACTAACTAAAATATAAAGAATTTCGTGTTGCTTTATCAGTTTATTTTTGTTTTTATTTTTTAAATCCGGTTTTTAAATCAGTCGCCACACAAAAATCATTAAAAATGTGGGCATCAAGGCGTTGTTTGGTTAAGTTCAATAAAGCAGATATTTGGAAAATTGTATTTAATATTTATATACCTTGTAGAACACTTAAATAAATAGGTAGATAACCTTAGCAGATTAAACTTATTGATCATTGCATGGACAGTCGCTCATGCAGAACTTAAACTTTATGACAATCTAATGAACAAACTCACTCCATACTTAACTCAATGGCCATTCTAATAATTAAATTTCAATTAGCATTCATCTTATTCGAGGGAGAGAGGACTTATACAATATCGATTTTTTGTTTATCCATTAAAAACGGACATCAAGCACATAAAAGGCGAAATAAAGAGAATTGCGCATACGCAACGTGTTACGTATGCTGGCACACGGATGTAAGTAAAACTTTTGTTATGATTGAAGTCTTCAAGTGTTTAAGTATCAGCGCAACGGGGTTTTTCCCTGTCGGCGAATACAAGTTCTGACTTTGTGAAAGTTGCAGACCCGGCGCGCCCTAAGGGCCACCATCAGTGCCAGCGCCACTTATAGATAGAGAGTTTTAATGAAGTAACAGATGGGCGAAAAAAAAAGTGGAGAAAGAATCGAACATTATAGCTTAAGTTTAATGCGCTCAGCATGCGGGCAAGTAGAACTGTTATACATTCTTATCTGTTATACTCAGTTGTCATTTTGCTTTAGATTTACTTGATTTTAAGACTACATTTCCAGTGATTGAATTGATAATATCTTTAGAATGCACTTAAAATTTCTTTCAGTGTTTCAATTAATTATCAATTCTTTAAGCAAAAGTTCACTTACCAAACTTGTCAGTTAATACAAAACCGGCATATAAATATCGTTGTTTGTTTTTGTTTTCGTTGTTTTATTTGTTTTTGTTATTTTATTTATTTAAATTTTGATTTTTTCACTAATTTATTTTTATTTTTTGTTTGTCTTTTGATAATCGTCTCGTAAATCCAATTCACAATTTCGTTCAATTTTTAATGCATTTAAGACACGCTGCGGCTGCTACTAAATAATATCTAAGCAATAAAATTAACATTTATTAATATCAATTGATTTATTGACTGTGTTTGATTAATGAAGCACGACGCACACACACAGTCACACTCACACACGCACACACAAATTGCAAAAACGATTCATGCTAAATTATTGTTTTTGTTTTTTGATTTTTTAATTTTTTATAAATTTGTATCCGTTGTTTTCACAGCTTTTTACATATGTTTGCAAAATTTGGGATTTTCTCACTTTTTATATTTGGTTTGCTGCTATTATTACTTTTAGTTTTGTTTTCTACTTTTTTGTTGCACCCACTTGGCAATTGTTGTTGTTGTTGTAGTTCGGCGCTGCTTGAAACCGGTTTGTGGCTTTGGCTAGTCGACGTCGCGCGCCTTAGCACATAAATTGCATTTTATTTTTAAAACCCGGTAATAAATTGTTTCATTTATAATTAGAATTTTTTACAAACTGACACGAAAATTTTAATAACAGCACCAACAAAAATAAAAGATAAACTAAAAAAAAAATGTGTGTGTGTAAAACGTGAAATCGAAAATCACATTGGGGTGCCTCATATGTAGCTCTGTCTCTGTTGTCGCTGCTGACCTTCGCATAGTTGTTGCAGGAGCTGTCGCTGTCGCGGTCGTCATCGCAGTGAGCGCATTATTAGCTCGATTACCTAACAACAAAAACAATGCAACTGTCGCTGTCTCTGCTGCGGCTACAGCTACGGCTGCGACTGCGGCTGCTATAGCTGTCGGCGTCGACGCTGGACTTGGCACCAAAACGTAACACGCGACGCCGCAGTGCATGTGGAAATCTTAAAGCGCATTACGTTATTACGTTATTTACTACACAACGACTTAACGAAAAGAGAAAAAGAAAAAAAAGCTTTGCGTGTGTCTGTCAAGCAGCAAGCAGGCAACAACAATGGCACAGGCATTACAGTTACAAAATGAAACCGAAACTATGCGATGCCAGAGCAAAGCAAAAGCAAAAACAAAACAGTAGCAGCAGCACAGCAACGCCCCAGTGAGACACCAGCAGCAACAGCGCCAACAGAAGCGGCATCCAATGCAGCTGCTGCTCACTCACTCATTCACTCTCACTCTCACTCTTACTCTCTGACTCGCACTCTCGCAGCATATGCTGCTGCAGCTTTTCAAGTCCAACGAAAGTGAAATTACTATTGCTCTGCTCTTCTGGCTGCCGCTCGTTTGTCTTTGTATTTCTTTTCATTTTTTTGGTTGAGGAAATGAAGTAAACATGGAATTGACATAATCAAGACGCGGCGCGGACTGCAAATGCTTTAAAAGCTCTGTCGACGTCGCCTTGCTGAATGCGTTACAGGTTTTTGAGTCGTGCCGCCGCTGCTTTTGCTTTCTGTTTGCTTTTTGCTTACTGCTGTTGTTGTTGTTGTTGCTGTGTGTGTTCAATGAGCGCTGGTGCGTGTAAATATGTAAGAGTCGCCTTCAACCGGCTTTTTTTGCGATATGTTTTTTTTTGTTTGTGTGCATAGTTTTTGGCTTTTTGCTTTGCTGCGCTTTTTGCGCTGGTCAGTTTTGGCGTGGGTCAGTTACATGTGTCCGCACAGCACATAGGAAATAAACAGCAGATGAAGTAATATCGACAGAAACATTACAGCAGCAGCACCAGCAGCGACTGCTGCAACGCACCTTAAGAAATGGTCGTAACCAAAAAAACGCAGCAACTACAACAATAACAATAGCGATAAATGGGCGTCTGTCGTCTGTACACACCTGATGCATATACGCACAGACACATCCACAGACATCACACTGAGAGCGATAAAACGGTAAAGTCTACAATAGAAACTCCAACAAAAGAGCGCACACACAAAAAGGCAAAGGGAAAACGTGCATAATAATACGCTGTGCAAGTAGACTCAGAGAGCGAAAGAGACAGCACCATGCATGGGAGCAGACAGAAGCTACAAAGTTCTCGCGCTAAATTTGAATGTTTCTCTATTCGTTGCTGGTGTGTTTATGAGTTTTTAGTTATTTTATATATTTTTTTCCTTTTCGTAATGCCTAAATTGAATAAATAAACGATGAGTCGCTATTGAATTTTGATTGTATTTAGTGGGAAATTTTATGACGAGTTTTGGTTTTTTGTATTTTATGATAATTTTAGCCACTTTTTATAGCAACATCTTTTTGTTTATTATTATAATTTGCGCAACTTTTGTAAATTTGTAAATTACAACACACTAGCAAAAGCAACATCAGCAACAGCAGAAGCTTCAATGCATTTGCTGTTTTTACATCCACTATTATGTCAAAGATTTGCTCACTTTTTTATTAGCTCTGATTATGTGTAATTTAGTTTTATTGCCGTTAATTGCTTTTGCACACTTTTTTTGCCCAATTTTCACGAAGCTATCACATTTTTTGTACAAAGAAAGACGACAACAAAGCATAGCTATGAATTACTAGAAAGAGGAGCAGGCCAAGTACCGTTATAGTTTTTTCTTTGCTTTTCGTCAAATTATAAAGTATTTAGCTGGATTTTTATTTTCGATTTTTAGTTTGGGTTTATTTTTATTTATTTTTTGGTTTGCTGATTTGAATATAGCTAAGCGCCCGGCGCATGGCACAAAACACAAAAGCATAAAACAAACCAAAAACAAAAAATGAGCACAGTTTTTTCTTTATTTTCGATTGTACGTGTTTTTGTTGGTTAATGCGCCTGCGCGCAACGTTCGCGTCTTGTTACTATTTACTTGCGCCGTCGCGTCCGCATCAAACGCCTGTCGTTGGCAAACTGAGCGCCGTTAAGCGCTGAGCGCAAGACAAAATACAAACAGAGAGCGTGAGAGGCAGAGCGGAGAGCGTCAAAAAGCTTTTAGCGCCACAGCAAAGCTTTTTAGCACAGTGAGTGTGAATTTATGCTCTAATAAAATTCAACAGGCACGAGGGCTAAACTCCTGCTGCTGACTAAGGTGGACCTTGTCAGGCCATCAAGCGAATGCAAAGAATGCGAAAAAAAAACTCGCTCACTTTGAGACGACCTCACAAACAAATCAAATTTAATAAACAAGTCAAGAATTTGTATTAATCAATAGAAGGTAAATAAAAAGCACAGCTGCTGACTTACGAAAATGAGCAAAATATATACAAATAATTATAGGTACATATACATACCGATATGTACATATTTATAACTGACAGGTTGGTAACATCAGCTAATTGAATTAGCATCGAAATGAACGAAGCTTGCGCGTTGCATATAATTAATATTTAATTTACTAATTGAATTTTTACTGCCGACTACCGTGCTGCAGTCTCTTTGATCTCAACACTGTTGTATGTATATATACGCACATATGTATGTATGTTTATGTCGTTAAAGATCTTGACAGTTGCAAATTTGGCAGGCAAACACAAAACCAGGCAGAACCACTCAGAAGAGCTAATCACAGTTGTACACAGTTAGACGTATGTAGAGGTAGAGGTTGAGGTGGACGCATGATGCAATTTTTATGATGTGCCAAATTAGCCATAAAATACACACTCACACATGTATGTGTGTAAACAATTCACAATCTATATTATATAAGTACATAAAGTCCAAGAGCTTTTATGCGTACTTAAATTGTTAAGATCAACACAGAAATAACAGTTAGTTTTATGGGCTGAATGTGTGAGCATTAATTGGTTATGTACAAATATAAAAACTATGAAGAGTCAGAAATTTTAATTTCTTAAAATAAATAAATAAAAAATTTAAATTTAAAATATCTTAATCAAACATTCTCTAAAATGATTTATGTGAAAATAATTTGTGTATGTGTCTATATTTATAACCCTAACTATTAAAACATATTTTTGCACCTTGCATTAAATATATGAAACAAAATTTTAAAGGAAGCGGAATACATCCATATTAAAATATGTTTATAATTCTAGCTATTTAAATTTTATTTATTTTTTTTCTATTTATAATGCACTTTGGGCAACATCTATAGCAATTCATAAACATTTATAGTCCTAATTATCTGTATTGTTTATATATTTCCATCAACATCTCCATCTATTTATAATACTAATTTTTTAATCGAAGACTATAGTTTTCTGTTTCAAACTCGTTTTCCGTTAAAATTTCAAGATCGAAATTCATGATTAACACCAAAATTTATGATCACGTTCGCTCTCTTCAAGCACTTTAAAAAGAACTATGTAAATTATCGATTATAAAAAAGTATCGATTGCTTGCCATCATCAAGTTCGCTGCCTAAGTCTTTTGTTCTAGCGCTATTTTAATGCTAAATTACGGCCTTGCCAACAGCTGGTATCAAAACTTATTGAACTTCAATAATCAACGACAGCCCAAAACTACAATAACAACAACAAACTTAGCACGAAATAATTTAACTAAATTGGCGCGCAAGGTCGTCCACGGTCAGTGACTGAAGAAGAGGAAGAAGACGAAGCTGATGCAGCAGAAGTGCCAACTGGATGAACTGGACTTGAACTGAAATTGGGACCAGTTGCCGGTTATAATGCCCTTTTTTGAAAAATTATTTCGTGCAGGCAATAAAAAAAAAGCGCCAAAAATGAATCAACCAAAAATTTAACAATAAAATACTACAAAATTACTACAACAACAAAGAGAAAAATTAGCTACCGGCTACCGGAGATTTAATGAAAATAAAAACAAGAATCAAATGCCATACGGATGTGTCGCCAGCGACTCGGAATGCTCACAAAACATGCCGAGGACGGTCAATGGTCTTAACTTAACCAAAAAAGAAAAATAAAAAAAAAAACAATAACAATTTATGTATATATGTACATATATTTATAACTATAGTGTTAAAAGTACACATCAAGAGACGTGTTTTATTTCAGAATTCAAAACATGCGCCAACTGCCGCTTTGGAATTTTATCCAGAAGTCAAACTCAATGTGATTCATGACTCAAAGAAACAGAGCAAAGCCAACTTAAAGAAGAAGAAGAAGAATCTGTACATATATACAAAAAGGGAAAGGGAATCTCAAGCTCATGCACTTCACTCAAGTTCAAGGTGAAAGACAATGAAAATCGAGTTACGATTCGAGCCAAGTTGAGTCAGTGGGGCATTGGGGAAGGGCAACATGTAATTATGTTAATAAGTGTTATATATAATTTCTTATGCTGAAAGTCAATAATTGAAGTCAACTGCTTGTTGATGACATAACCGATAAATAAAAGCTGTTCAGCTGACATAACTAGCTGGGAATTCCCAGATAATGTACCAAAGCTAAAATGCATTTATGATTAAATCAGTTGGATATTTTGTTATATATTCCATTTAATAACAAAACCTGGTCAGAGAAAGCGCTAGTACGGAATGTTAATGGGCGGAGGAGCTCTACCACATCTAAAATGTTCATAACGTCAATCGAAAATTATTAAGAAAACTGGCAACTCTTAGTAAAACCCCTCCTGATAATTGAGAATCATATTTCGTATGGAAAAATTATTATCTAAATAACCTACTACTATCAAAATTAAATAATTTTAGCTGGGGAGCATTTTTATTTACTTATTACTTTTTTTATATTTTATTTATTTTTATTGTTATTATTTTTTTATTATTATTTTATTTTTTATTTTATTTATTTCTTTTTATTGTATTTTATATTTTTTTAATTTTATTCATTTATTATTATTATTATTATTTGTATGTTATAAATATTCTATATTTATTTTTATTTTTTTTTTTATATTATTAATATATTATTATTTTTATTATTATTATTATTATTATTATTATTATTATTATTTATTTTTTATTATTATTATTATTATTTTTTTTGTTTTTGTATAGTATGAATATGTTCACGCCTCTATATTCTTGCGTTTGCTTTAGTTTTGTCTTTGTTAATTCACATTTTCAATAATTCCCATCGTTATGAATTTAAGCTTTAGCTTGTAAATTTGTTTAACCCACTTGAAGGTTAAATAATTATAGCTCTCTGGATGCTGAGCAACCACGCCACGTACAAGTTCTTCCCATATATATATGTATGTATATTGTTAGCTACTGCTTCTACTTTAAATATATATATTTACCTATTCATATATACACATAAATACATGAATATTTTTAATGATCGCTTGGGCCATCTCACTCACACTAATGGCTTCTAATATGCCCCCTAATTACAGCGATTACACAAAAGGCAGCCCAAATGGCTTCCTCATGTCAAGAGTTCTATGCAGCAGCTACGTTCGAATCGACTGACACAGATTAGTTATGGCTATGCGCAAGCGTTCAAGTTTTCCCCTGCGGGTTCAAGAACTTAACTGACTAACGAACGAGTCTATTAAAACATTATAAACTGGATAGCAATAGTCACACACATAATATATATATGTATACGTATATGCATATATATTGTATGGACACATGCAGCACTAAACAATGACAATAGCTAAGTGAGTTCTGCGGTTTTTGCTTTGCAATTAGTGATGAGAGCGTGATCAAAAAAATTGAAAGGTATATTAGCTCTTTAGAATATGCACAGATTA